CAATGCAGCTTTATGGGAGAGAGCTGTTTCACAAAACGTCAGACAAAGCTCCATCATAGAATGCTTTGGGTTGGAAGGGACCTTTAGAGGTCATCTAGCCCAACCCCCCTGCAGTGAACAGGGACATCTTCAACTAGACCAGTTGCTCAGAGCCCCGTCCAACCTTGCCTTGAATGTTTCCAGGGATGGGGCATCTACCACCTCCCTGGGCAACCTGTTCCAGTGTTTCACCACCCTTATGGTAAAATATTTCTGTCTTATATCCAGTTTAAATCTACCCTCTTTGAGTTTAAAACCATTACTCCTTGTCCTGTCACAACAGGCCTTGCTAAAAAGATTTTTCTCTTCTTTCCTATAAGCCGCCTTTAAGTACTGAAAGGCCTCAATAAAGTCTCCCTGGAGCCTTCTCTTCTCCAGGCTGAACAACCCCAACTCTCTCAACCTTTCGTCATAGGAGAGGTGTTCCAGCCCTTGGATCATCTTTGTGGCCCTTCTCTGGGCCTGCTCCAACAGCTCTGTGTCCTTCCTGTGCTGGACGCAGGACTCCAGGTGAGGTCTCACCAGAGCAGAGCAGAGAGGCAGAATCACCTCCCCTGATCTGCTGGCCATGCTGCTTTTGAAGCAGCCCAGGATACGGTTGGTCTTCTGGGCTACGAGCACACATTGTCGGCTCATGTCCAGCTTTTCATCCACCTGTACCCCCAAGTCCTTCTTGGCAGGGCTGTTCTCAATCTCTTCATCCCCGAATCTGTATTGATAGCGGAGGTTGCCCCAACCCAGGTGTAGGACCTTGCACTTGGCCCTGTTGAACCTCGTGAGGTTAGTATTAATTAATATTGCTATAGCAGAATTTTTTTTGGTCAGAGATGGAAGCTGAAGAACATTTCTAGTTGAAGTTATCTTCTGTCTTCTGTGCTAGTGTATCCTAAGAGTTTAAATACAAATGTCTGTTTTCCCCTCTCTGTCAGAGTGCATTTTGGTACTAAGATAGAGTCTGTCAGTGACATGCCAGCTGTACCTGAAGGCTGGTAGGGTGCCAGCTGCTAGTCAGGGTAAGCAAATACTGAAGGCATATAAAGTTTTTTTGGTTGTGAGTGTGTGCCTTGCATTAGAAGAGAGAGCATTCGTGTGTTTTAGTGTAAGTAATTTAGCTGAAGTAGCTTTAAGTCATAATTTAGTCTATAGAACACTGGTGCAACATAGGAATTTTGTCAAAGCATCTTTATTGCTCCTGTTCTCAGAGTGGTGAAAGGTGGTAGTCACTCTCTAATGCTCTGACAGAGATAGTGGCCTTTTTCGTGGACAGTCAATGTCAGACAGTGTACTGCTAATGTTCACACTATGCCATTAACTTTTAACTGCCCTTGTTTGAGACAGGATTTTAACTAAATCTCGAGGCAAATTTTTTGCAAAAAAAAATGTCTTACAATTAATTTTGTTATCCAAGAGCATTAATGGATGCTTGTTACTACAGAAGACAGAAAGTACACAGTGAAACTGGGTTTCAGACTGAAATTTAGTAAGAAACTATCTAGTGCTTGTTGGTGGAGGAAATATCCTGACTAACAAGGGGGAAGGTGTTGTGAGCAAGTGGCAGTTTTTATACAGGACTGTGTTCAACTTTCAAGAAGGAATGTAGTCATGATAGAAAACTTGTAATTGTGCTTGTGGATAAATTTGCAAAATATTGTTACAGAGAATTAAAATGAAGGTTGTAGTTGGTGTGGTTGATGTGGATCAGGGATTTCATCAATCACTATCTTATTTTTTTGTTTTAGCCAAACTGTTTAAATTAGCATGTAAGACACTTTGTTGTTATTTTTAAACCTTAAACATGCATTATTTTACTTTCCGGTTTGTAAAAGACATAACCGATTGCCATGCGATTTCTTTCTGATGACATTGTGAGGAAAGAAGGATCAGTTGTTGCCAAAAGTACAGATGACTGTTTGGTGTGTAGAATAATGGAAAAGGTCAGAGTCTCAGTTCCACTGGGTTTCTCAGCTCAGACTGCTGAAGGATGTGTGACCTGAAGTATGGCATTGGGCACGAGTGAGCGGCATGGGTTTGTGAGGCTGCAGGTGAGCCCTGAGCCTGGCGGGACCTCACAGCTCTGGAGGACACCATGCAGACACACTTTGACTGGAGCTGGTCCAGTTCCAGCAGAACTGGCAATGAACTGAAATGTGGAGTCCTGGAACTAAACTGCCTCCATGCGGGCTGTTTTATGTGTCTCTGGGCTGTGCTTATCAGCTGTGTTCAGCTTTGGGAGTGTCATGTAGGCACACCTTCAGCTCAGGTACAACTCCGCTTAGGCTCTGTGTTTCAGAAAAGCAGTTAGGATGCCTCAGACTCGAGGCTGGCGTTGGACACGGTGCAGCTGCTGTGTTCATGGGCTGTGGCTGCAGAAGACTGTCTTGGCCTGTGATGGCTCTATGCAAGGCATTCAGTTCAGGTGTCTTAAACATGTATGGCACAAGTATTCTGCCTATGGATGACTGACAGCTGGCTGTATTAAAATGGTAAACAACAAGCAGGAAAAGTGTAATGCTATTGGTTTTTCCTAGCCTTTTTTTTCCCCTCCCTCTATCTCATTTGCTTGTGTTTATAAGGTATCCCCAACTAAATAACTGAAATTCTGGAGTACTCATAGAATCATAGAATGGTTTGGGTTGGAAGGGACCTTAAAGATCATCTGGTTCCAACCCCTCTGCCATGAGCAGGGACATCTTCCACTAGACCAGGTTGCTCAGAGCTCCATCCAGCCTAGCCTTGAACACTTCCAGGGAGGAGGCATCCACAGCTTCTCTGGGCAACCTGTTCCAGTGTTTCACCACCCTCATGGTGAGGAATTTATTCCTAATACCTAATCTAAATCTGCCCTCTTTTAGTTTACAGCCATTCCCCCTTGTCCTATCACTATACACCCTTGTGAGAAGTCCCTCTCCATCCTTCCTGTAGGCCCCCTTCAGGTACTGGAAGGCTGCTATAAGGTCACCCCGGAGCCTTCTCTTCTCCAGGTTGAACAGCCCCAACTCCCTCAGGCTGTCCTTGTAGGAGAGGTGTTCCAGCCCTCTGATCATCTTTGTGGCCCTCCTCTGGACCCGCTGCAACAGCTCCATGTCCTCCTTCTGTTGGGGGCTCCAGAGCTATAACGAAACAATGTTAATTGATATAAGCAGGGTGCAGTCTCATTGCTGTGTTCTCATGTTTTGGCATTTTTATTTGGCATGCTGAGTGGATTCTGCCATTACGGTGTTCCTCTCAATCTTTGCTTCACAGTTGACATGTTTCCTTTACGAACAAGATTTAAAAATCAAGACTTTCTCTGATTGTTAGTTATACTAGTCCTAAGCATGATTTGAAACAATGGTAGACTGAAAGAAAAATACAGTGCTTTTTTGATCATCTAGTGTATTTTAGTGCCAGATGTTAGCATGGTACCTGCTCAGAATTTTTCATAGTTTTGTGATTATGACCATTTTTTTGTAATCAAGTAAGTTTTCCAATTCAGTTTAGAGAGAAGAGGCAGTGCTGTTTTACTTTATCTGAGAGAATATATAGAATTGTAACTAACTTCCATTTAGGATTTCCCTGTACTGCTTTGCTGTTTTCTGTGCCTCAGGCAGTACAACTGATGTGATATCATTCTAGTTGTATATGGTGGTGTTTAATTTTTCCTCAGAAATGCTTTGAGAGCACGTAATCATAGAGCTTTGCTTTTCGACATTTTTGTTCTGAATTAAGAAACTAATTAGCTGCAACCTGGCTTCAGTTTGTAGGACAGAGAAACTCATTCATAAAAACAAGCTGTCAACTTTGGGATGAATAATTCCTAGTAACTGTTGGAGATTAGGTGTTTTGCTTTGTCTTTTGCTTCTCTGAAGTCTTGCAGGTGCTAATATGGATAATGAATCTTTCCTGGCAGAGAAGTTTTTACAGGAAATCTTTGTTTCCTTTCGTAAAACTAAGTAGACATTCGCTGAGGGATGGTACTCACTGCTGAGGCATATTTTGTGTCTTGTAGATAAAGAGGTGAATATTAGATGAAGCAGGGATAGGAAATAAAGTTTGTGTACCATTCTGTGCCCATTCTCCTTCTGTTTGGTGAATAATGGAAACTGCTTGTGCATTCCCTTGTGCTCTCCAGCCCTGATCTGATCTATCAGTGTGTGGATAGTCTTCCATTCAGCTGCAGTGTAAGGCTCAGTTTCCTTTAACACTTCTGTTTATTGTTATCCTCTGTGTACCTAAGCTCTCCTGGGGGAGAAATAGGGAGGGAGTCTCTATTCTCTTTTCTTGAAGTGGAATCTATTTCTTCTTCAGCTGCCCTCTCTATTTCTTTACTCTTCGACACAGACGCTTCATGTCCCGTTCAAAAGATTTGGAAGAAAGAGTCCCAATGGCTTCTATTAGATTAGCTTTTGTTTGGCAGTCTCTATAGCTGAAAAGAGACAGTGAAATACATCATCTAAAGCGGAGATGAGAGTGGGAAGATAAAGTGTAGTGATTATTAATGAATGGTTGGATCCTTCTTGTTGAGTTGTAATACATAGAAAGGAAATGCAAGACACAGCAGTTTGGTGTCTGAGGAAGTGGTAAATGCGGTTGTATCTGACTCTGCAATCAGGGGACTGAAGCTTTAGGTATTCATATTCTATTAAACTTTATAGTTACAAATGGAAAAAAAAAAATCTGTTGGTACCTATACTACATTTGTTGTATTCTGGGTATATCTTCATTATGTGGGAAAACAACTCCAAAATACATACTTGCTTACGAGTTTAAATTCATGGCCACAAGTGAACATTTGAAAACTAAAAAGAATTAGGTATAACAGTTTTAATATATGAATTTATTAAATATTGGGATTTGTCGTGCATTTAGCAGTATACAAACAGGTAATATTGCAACACCTTTGTTGACAATTTTGTTAAATTATATTTTTTTTTAATTTGTATTTTGATATACTTTATTCATCAGAGAAAGCAACCAGTGAGATGAACACTGCAGAGGACTGGGGCCTCATCTTAGACATCTGTGATAAAGTTGGACAGTCACGCACAGGGTAAGTGACTTTAGAAATTTCCTCCCCAAACTTTTTAAATTTTGTTATTTCAGTCTCATACTCAGATACGAGGAATGAAATTTTTCTTATCTTGTATAGGCTTTTGCAACAGTTCAATTTAACTTAGATTTATTACAAGTAAAAAGAAATTCTATGGATTTTCCACTCAGATGTTTTGCCATTCTTCCTTTGGAGATAATGGCTCATCTGTTAAAATTAGGACTTGCGTGCAGCAGCTTTTCACCAGTGTAAGAGAATAAATAAACTGATGTGTTTTAGCAGTGTCACTCTAAACCCAGGAGACTTCATGAGGGATTTTTCTTACAGAATCATAATCTAGGTTGGAAGTGACCAGCCCCCCAGCTCGAAACAGGTCCAGTTAGATCAGGTTGCTCAGGACGGTGTTGAGTCTTGAATACCTCCAAGGTCAGAATTTCCACAACCTCTATGGGCAGCATGTTTCAGTATTTTAGTATTTAACTACCCTCATAGTAAGTAAGTAAGTAAATAAATAACCCTGCAATCTGATTACACTTTCCCCTGTTCCAGTTTGCCTGTTGCTTCTTGTCCTATGGCTGTGCAGCTCTGAGAGAGAGTCTGGCTGTGTCTGCTGTTGTAGTCTCTGATTAATTAGTTGTAGGAAGCAGTGAGATCCCCTTTTAGTCCACTCTTCTCAAAACTGAAAGCAGTTCTCTGTCTTTCCTTGTATGTGACTCGCCTCTGACCATCCTGGCAGCCCTCCACTGGACTTGGTGCAGCACATCAATATCTTTCTTTCACTGGGAAGCCCCAAACTGGACAAAGTACTCCATGCGCAATCATACAAGTGCGGAACGGAGGGGAAGGATTGCTTCCCTGTTCCCGCTGGCTACGCTGACCACTTGTTTGACCCAGGATGCGGCTGGTTGTCTTTGCTGCCAGGCTGCACTGCTACCACCTGTCACCCAACAGGACCTGCAGATCCTTTGATGCAAAGCTGCTCTTTAGGTGGTCAGCTTCTGGCCTTTGCTGGTGCAGACCATCCGAAATGCGACACCTTGCCCTTGCGCTTACTGAACTTGGTGAGGTTCCAGTCTGTCCATTGCTCGAGTCTGTCCAGGACCCTCTGAATAGTAGGCCCGCCCTCCAGTATATGGATTGCTCCCCTCCAATTTGCTGTTGTCAGCAAAGTTGCTGAGAGTGCACTGCCTCCCATCATTCAGGCTGTTAGTGAAGACACTTAGCAGTGTTAGTCCCAGCAGAGATCCCTGAGGGACCCCACCAGTTACTGCCCACTAGCTGGAATTTGTACCAGCCAGTTTTCCACCCACCTTATCATCCTTTTACCCAGCCCATATTTCACCACTTGGGTGATAAAGAGACGGCATGAGCTTCAACTGTTTGTTGATACTTTGCTAAAACCAAGGTATAAAGCACCTGCTGCCCTTCCCTTGTCCTCACCACCAGACCACCAGTGTCTTTGTCACAGAAAGCAATGAGGCTCTGTGTTTCTTCTGCTTGTTTGAGAAGCTATTCTCTGACCTTGGGGCTTAAACTCACCTTAATATGGACAGCTAATGCTTCCATTGTTGGTTCTTTACTGAGCTCTCTCAGGCTTTGTGCATGCGTTAAAGTATAATTGGAGTTAGCAAATAAAAAGTACAGTTTAAAGATATTATTTCAGTGTTTCTATGGTGTTTTTACTTAGTGTAGTTTTAGGCTTTGGAAGTGTTTTAAGTACATCTTTTCCAAGCATTCCCTGTAACAATTCAGGTAAGGAATAGCCTCAAAAAGAGAGTTATGCCGTTGCTGCTGCTTAGTGAAAGGCTTCTCTGTGAATGACTTGAATTGCCTTGTAAGACTGTGGCAAACAGTATGAGGTGCCAGACAGCAAATTCCCACCTGAGACTTTTGTTCCAAAGGACAGGTTTGCAGATAACCTTATTCCCTGGGATGAGAAATGGTTTCTAGAGGAGTGCTTATAAATAGCGTGGCATATTGAGTCTTCTGTGCTGTTGTGTGTAACTGTAGGTAACAGCTAGCAAGTTGTTAATAATGTTTCATATTAGTCTGTATGTGTAAAACTGCATTTCTGCTCCTTGTGCATGTTGATGCTGAGCCTGTAACAATATTATTGGAGGCTTCACTATTCTGTTTAATCACTGAAAGCATTTCCATAGACAAGCTTTTGTCTTACAGCAACCTAGACTGAACAGTGCTCAAATGTATGTAGCTGCAAGACACAACTGCTTGGAAGTATAGACAGAGCTAGCGATCTTCTGGTAATGTGCAGCTAAATTTCTCTGGGACAGCTGGAATTTCTGTTACGATTTGTGGGGGTTTTTTGTTTATTTTTGGTGTGACTGTGATTGTGACTTTAACCTTTGTAACACTTACCCTGCTTGCAATATGCTGCCAGCTGACTCGTTGCTTAAATTCAGATTCTGTTAAAACTTGCTGATAGAGGGTTCTTTGTTTTGATGGATTATGTCATGCCATAGCAAGGTAAAGTGAGAGAAAGTTCCACATTAAGAAGCTGAAATCAGATATGGTACACTTTTAAATTCTTCTGCAGTTTAAGTTCCTGTGGCAAGGATACTATTCTTCTTAACTGGGATCTGCTTTAATCTTTTAACCAATTCTGGTCCAACACAAGCTGTCTGTTACTGTTCTGGACAGAAGTTTAGATTACAAAATCTCTGCTTTATGGGTTTTCTGTGTACCAGTCTGTAAGCTGTATTGCATGCCTGCAGCATTTTAGATGTGCATCGTCTTACACCTGAAGCCACAGAAGACTAGAAGGACTATTCTGCATAAAGTGGCACTTTTAGTCCCACAGTGTTACATGGCAAATTGTCTCATTTAGGTCTGCCAACAACTTATTTGCATCCGGAGTAGTTGTTGGAGACCTGTTACGCTTCAAAGGTGCTACATTTTTCTCTTAAGATAAATCAGTTATAGTTCAGTAACAGGATTGCTACTGTTAATTTTTGCGTTGCAATACCTTTGTTGCAGAGAATCGCCAATAGCTAAAAATTTTCTTTCTCCCCTTAATCCAACCAACTAAAACAGGTTTTAGCAAGTTAGAATTCCACTGAATCTCTCTTTGACTATTTTTCTCTATTTTTTGTGAATTTCAAAATCTAATTTATGAGAGTTGCTAGCCAGTTCCTAAGTCTAGTTCTGTTTGCATTTGACTTTGAGATGGCTGTACCATTTGTGTTCACTTAATGAGACATACCAGTCTTTGTCTGAAACTACCACAACTTCATTTTTTCTCCAGAAAAGTTACTTAATAAAAACGGTGTCTGAAAATAAATGAAGTTAGTGACTGGGAGAAGACACCAATGGTTGAGAAAATAGAAGTATTCATTGAAGCACTCTGTTGGGGGTGGGGGTGGGTATTGAAAAAATGTCATTGAGAAATTCTTTGTCTATATTGCTTCTTGCCTAACTTTGTCCTGTGGATTAATCACTGCCTCGGTGAGTCAGTATTCTGGTTAGCTAATTCTTCTTTGGTTGTTTTTGTGCCTGTTCATACAAGAGAGAAGAGCAGAATAGTTTACTTGATAGTTTTCCAAACTAACTTCTATTTTTTCTCTCCCCTCAAGTTACCCAATCTCAGTAGCGTTTTACATAGTTGTATGTAACCATAGCAGGCTGACCAGGAAGCTCTTTGACTAGCTTGTTTCTAAAGGAGCAAGGAGGAAAACTGTGTCACCTGTGTAGTGTTGAGCCTCACAGTCAGTTACCTTAGACTGTAAATGAACAGTAAATTCCTGAACATATATGAAAGGTTTTGTGCAAAGTAATATTTTAGATTCCAATTGCTGTTAAGTGTGTCTTTGTTAAATAAAATATAATCAAATACATAATTTTTTAATCTTGTAAACTAAAACTGAAACTTATAGTGAATGTTTTTTTGAATATAGTAGTATATAGTAACATAGCTTCTATTGTGTCTTGCCCTATTTTCCCCCTACTGATTTGTTAGTCCCACTCACTGTGCTGCGTCTGAAATTTTGGTTGTAGAATCATTGGAGCAGAACTGCAGATCGATATTTGTACAGCATGGTCTGTAGAGATGCCTAATAACTAGAATTCTGTTCTGGCAGGGTGCTTGCCTTCCCTCTGATTTCTGCGTAGTGCTTCGCATAATTTACAAACTAAATTCGTGAATTAATTTGAAGTGAAAACAAGGATTGCAGTTCTGTCTAGAATAGGGATTTGTAGTCTGTGTCACTAAATATTGGTAAGTCTGGAACTTTTTTGTGTAGATGTAATCAAGATTTTTTAAAAAAATTGAGTATGTTAGAACATTAACACTCGATTGTTTCTGTTAAATATATGAGCAAATAGATTTTTTAAGATGTTTTTATGAATTACTGAGAGATTTCTAGGATTGTTTTTTAACTTTTTGAAGTTGTATTTGACACGTGAAAAGTCATTTGGTTTTGTGGCTTTCTTGTTACTTTATTACATTTTAATAATACTTTGGATTCCTTAATAAAAAAAATCTTAGGCTAATGGTCCTGTTCCTGAACTGCTGAGCACTTGATCCTACATCCTACCTTTATAAATACTGGCTTAACAATTGATGGATGTGCACTTTTTTGTGCCTGAGCTCATATCACGTTGATAGTCCTACTCATAAATTAATGGTTAAAAAAAGCAGTTATTTCTGAAAATTTTAGCATATATTCTCTCTAAATTAAAGTGAATGTGTGAGAAGTCTTGGATAATTAATAGGTAACAGGCCATGCCTGCTTTATATCCTTCATTTGTAATAATTAGTTATATGAAGGTATACAGTGAGTGATATGTAGTCTTGCTATGTGACAGCATTTTCTTTAATTAGTGCTACTTAGTATGAAGTGGACATTTCTGTAAAATGTGGACACTGCCAAAGATAGTATAGCCAAGCAGTGGTGTAACTTATACCCAAGTTTCATGTTAGTTCTTGGATATCGGTTCAATAGAAAAATAATTTTGCTTCAAAAAAACCCTCTTTCTGGATTATCTTTTCAAGGCTATTCAACAGATAATGCTTGTACGCCCATGGTAATTCCTACGCCAGCCTCGCTCAGCCTTCCACCACCTTTAAAGACAGAACAAAATAACAGAAAGTCACACAGATTTTAATATGCTAAACTGTGTCTGAAGCTCCCATTTAAATTCTTTCTTAAATTTCCTTTTTACATTATTTTTGTCTACCACAGTATAGGTAAGACTTCAATTCTGTGTTTAATTGTTTTGAAACTTTGATGTAGAATGTCTAACACTTTTTTTAGCACTTGTTGGTTCATTGCATATCTTCTTTATAAATGTTATTCTGTAGATTAACAGAGACTCTGAGGAACGCAGTGGTAATTTAAAAAAAAACATAGCAAAAGGGCATTAGTAATCAGGATGTAAGCAAATGTTCTTAGATATGGATGTGAAATACAGAGGAGTAGGTGCATGGACTACAGAGAATTACAGTTCTCTAGTTGTAAGGGATTTTATGCATTTCTGGAGTATTTACAGTAATTCTCACTAACTACAGAAGGTAATGTAACTTAGTGAGAGGTTTTGATAACTAAAACAGCTAGCATTCCTACAGATAGAAATGGCTACAACCATTAATGGTGCTAATGTATTTTTTTTTTAATGTTGCACTTATAAGCTACTAAATAATTTACTGATGATGCTCGGGAGAGCTTGCTGTCTGTTAATGTTGTCATGCATTGTCATGTGTGCAATAGGAAATGTTCATTCCATTAATTTTTTTTAAATCTGTTCTTCTCTTTTTTAGGCCTAAGGACTGTCTCCGTTCTATTATGAAGAGGGTAAACCATAAAGATCCCCATGTTGCTATGCAAGCATTAACAGTAGGTTCTTTTTAATGTAGTGCTTTTCATTCCCGAAAAGTTATATTGCAAAAAAATGTTTTCTGACTTTTAATCTTTCTTTCTTTAGCTTCTAGGAGCATGTGTGTCAAACTGTGGTAAAATCTTTCATTTGGAAGTCTGTTCAAGAGATTTTGCCAGTGAAGTAAGCAATGTGTTGAATAAGGTAATGTATTGCACAGATTTGTACAATTCAGAGAAAAACTAAATCAGACAGAGAATTGGGGTAATCTGAAAATGGAATGGAATCTGCTTTTGGAAGACTGGAGATTTGGTGATGGGGAGAAGGATACAAGATTACTGGGAAAACTCTGGCTGTGGGAAAGAACTTCTGTTCAGGGGAGGTTCAAACATTCAAGACCAGGTTGGACAGGGCTCTGAGCAACCTGATCTAGTTAGTAGTGTCCCTGCTTCTGTTCAGGGGAGGTTCAAACATTCAAGACCAGGTTGGACAGGGCTCTGAGCAACCTGATCTAGTTAGTAGTGTCCCTGCTCGCTGCGGGGGGGTTAGACTAGAGGGCCTCTAGGGGTCCCATCCAACCCAAAACTTTCTATGATTCTATGAGGTTTTGTGGTATGTGTAAATTTATAAATATACAAATTGATCTTCACATTAAAGAACAGCAATGAAACACTAAATACAGATGTGGTGAAATAGAGATAATACATGGCTTTTATATAACCTTGTTTTATGCTGTTTTGGGCCTAGTATGTATTGTACTAGTACAAACACAGTGCTGGTGTACCGTTCTCCCTTTTTTTCTCCTGTAGTGATACGCTTGACTTCAAAATAAAGTGTCCATATAGTTTATATTGACAGTAACCTGAAATTATTTGAAATTAAGGAATTAAGAACAAATTCCTACATGATTTAACTAGTTTTTACCATGCTTGCAGGGTCATCCAAAAGTTTGTGAAAAGCTGAAAGCTCTTATGGTGGAATGGACTGATGAATTCAAGAACGACCCGCAGCTTAGTTTAATATCTGCTATGATAAAAAATCTTAAAGAGCAAGGAGTTACTTTCCCAGCTATTGGTTCACAGGTATATTAAATTTTGTGGTTGTTCTTAAAGGGTATCACAAATTCTTTTTATCTTCAGTTCTGTATTTTACAGTTTATAGTCTTGAATTCTGTAATGTGTTTGCCAAACAAAATGAAATATCTCGTTTTAATAAAATATTCCTCTCTGATTTACTTCAGATTTTTATGTTGCAGATGAATACAAATCAAAACAGTGAACTTAATGCATTGTCAGCTTTTTGTTGAATTCATTTTTACATCTTCTGCTTTTGTTTAGGCTGCTGAACAGGCAAAAGCAAGTCCAGCTCTAGTTGCCAAAGATCCTGGTGCAGTGGCAAACAAAAAGGAAGAGGAGGATTTAGCTAAAGGTGAGTGCATTTACTTGCTGACCAGATGCATATATTGGTAAATATCAAAGCAGGAGCAAATGTTTTGTTTCATTCCTCTATGTGAATAATATATTTATGGATTGTGGTTATGATTTCTGTTCCTTTCTCTTTGTACCGTTCCTGGAGGGTTAGATATTAAAACTACTCTGGGAGTAGAAAATATGGAAAATTCCTTTTTTTTTAAATTTTTTTTTTCCCTTGCCAAACTGAAACAACACAGTAAAAAATCTGCAAAATGTCATGTTAAGGACATGCTCCACTATGGAAACGTTTGATACAAGTTCTGCACTTGTATTTTCCCTCTTCCCGGGGCAAGTGAAACACATTCATTTGCAGTTTGAGCATTTGATGGAAGGAGTAAAGTAAGGATTATAGTATATAAGTTGGATTCAGTATTTTGGGTGTAACTTGGTATTACTTTAAACTTTTATTCCTTTGAATACTGCTTCTGCAGTATACTTTAAGGCTTGGATTCCTGTAAGCGCGAGTGGCTGTTAAATGTCTCACTGCAGTCCCAGTAAACAAAACTAGGACAGTTTCTTTTGATTTACTGTTGTACTGAAGTGTATTTAAATATCATTTAATGATCCTATAGGAGACATGTGAAGAGTTGTTACTAGAGTGGTTTTATCTTTACGGTCTAGATAATGTTTTTTGAGGTTGAACTTCAGCAATGTAAAGACATCAAATGCTAGCCCTTATATATAGCATGGCTTTGGGCTTAAAGTTGTAACACTGAGTGAAGTTTTTGCACGAGTAGTTGGTGAATGTTTGCAGTTTCTCATCTTTGACAGAAAATTTTTTTGTTTAGCTATTAGCTCATATAACATTGATTTATTTAAGTCACCGTTAGCCCATCTGTATATGTTAGTAATGTTTTTTTCAACAGTTGACTCACCAAAGTCTACCTTTAAAGGGATTCGGGTGCCAAAGGTTCAGATTCTGTGTGGGTTCTCTAATGTTCGTTCTCTTGTTTTTTGTGTCCTGCTCTGTCCCTTTTTAAACACAATCATTTTTTTTCACAAACTTGGAGTTTTATATGAATGAAACCTTTCTGGTCAGTCAAGTTTAATTGAAAATGATCAAGAAATGTGAAATTATTCAAGGAATGATAGGGAGAGAACAGGAATGGATGGAATTTTGCTTGTCTAAGCAAAAATCTTTTTCTTAATTATGAATTAAGGAGGTGTTTATTTACTGTGAGAGTGACTGAGTGCACTGGAAGAGGTTGCACAGGGAGGTTGTGGAGTCTCCATCCCTGGAGATATTCAGAAGCTGTCTAGACATAGTCCTGGGCGGCCAGCTCTAGGTGGCCCTGCTTGAGCAGGGGATTGAACAAGATGACCTCTAGAGGTGTCTTCCAACCTCAGCCAGTCTGCACGGTTCTCTGATTCTGTGAACTCAGACTGCAGACTCGGGATCTAACAGAGAAACAATGTGTACCTGAACAGCTGTATCTTTTTAATGTTTCAAGTGATCTGGAAAAGTTGAACATTATGTATATGCTAGTAAGAATGTAAATACATCAGTTCAAAATAACAACAATAATATAATACTAAAAAAAGGATGACTTCACTGAGTTATCCCATTTGTGCTTAAGTGCTATTTATTAATCCTCTCCATGTTGAAAGCCTCAGTAAATTTATGGGCAGCATTATGCTTTCTAGTTATAAAACATCTTTTTTGTTTTACCATTATTTTTAAGTGAAAGGCAGAAGTTGATTATGATGCAACAGGAATGGAATTATCCTAAAAGTTTTGAGAGTTAAATGTTCATATAATTCAACAACTTTTATGGGGAATTTTCATGTGAGTAACTGTTCTTTTGTAGCTATTGAACTGTCACTAAAAGAACAAAGGCAACAGCAAACAACACTTTCCAGTCTGTATCCGAGCGCATCAAGCCTTTTAACAAATCACAAACATGAGGGCCGAAAGGTTCGTGCAATCTATGATTTTGAGGCTGCTGAAGACAACGAATTAACTTTTAAAGCTGGAGAACTTATAACTATCCTTGATGACAGGTAATTTATGTCCAGTGCCTACTAGAAGTGTATTAGACTGTAAAAATCAGTTGAGAATAATTATATCGTCTATGTGGAAGCATACATTGGAATACAATTGCAATAAAATATATTTACATATTAAATACTTTATTTAGTTATCGCCTAGATTTTTTGCATTTGAATGTAATTGCAAATGCATATTGTAAATGCCTTGTACAGTGCTGTTCTTAGAAAAACTCCATGTGAGTAGGAGTTTTTTAATGTATGGGGGTTTTAATTATTTTTTTTTCTCTCTAGTGATCCAAATTGGTGGAAAGGTGAAACTCATCAGGGTATAGGATTGTTTCCATCTAATTTTGTGACAGCTGATCTTTCTGCGGAGCCAGAAATGAGTAAGTAACACTACATTTATATATATATTAAGCCTTGCCACAGAACAACGGATATTTCTGTAGTGATGTACTTTCCCTGTTTCCTTTTCCTTATGATAGGATTCAGTTCCAAGTTAATGTGATACTTGAAGTAAAACTGAGGAGCCCTCGCTGTGCTCTCAGAAATAAGTCACATCTTTGTGTCAGACCAAGGTTGCCCAAACTGGCTGAAAAATATGATGTTGTCTGCTGTTGACATTGTCAGTAGCTTTCGTGAGACGCATTTAACAACTCCATTGACAATCTAGATAAATGTAGGCAACAGCATTTTTTTCCAAATTGCCTTTTTGCCTGGTTGCAATGGTACATATCTAATCAAGGAAAAACTGAAGGCCCCTGGCCAGATGAGTCAGAGACAGATTACCACTGTTCAAACAATTCAAGAAACCTAAGGGCTGTAGGTATGTATGTGTGCATAATGGAAGGATTTTTTTTTTCCTGTGTACTGGCTATCTTCTTCTATCTATTGATATCATCTAACCTAGTCTAAATATTTATTAAAATATTAAAGGTTTTAAGATGCTAGAACTGATTTCTGTAAATCTGATAAGTTTGCAAGATGAATCTCCTGTGAGCTCAATATGAGCGTGCCAAAGGTATGAGCAGGTCAGCAGAATTACATGCTGTAGGAGTCATCTGTTCTGTGTTAAGACTAACTGATAAGAGTAGTGTGATAAGAGTAGTATTTGGCCGCTTTTTTTGTTGTGGCTTCCATTGCAGAGGGGTGAGATGCTTTTGCAGGTACTGTTTGATGAAGAAGGAATAGCAAAATCTGGGAACTTTGAGTTCTATACTTTGCTATAGAGAAAAGAAGGCTCCAGTTTGTCATAGATTATTTCACCAGTTTTCTCTTACACCTGACTCGTTAGCCCTGTTTCTTCCAATCACTCCCTCTTAGTCTGTTTTCCTGATGACTTATTAATAAGTATGCTACGTGCAGGGAGACTATGGTAAAGACATTTGCTTGCTAAAACATGCTTCTATTGACCATGTGTGAACTGATGTCTTTTTTATCCGATTTACAGATTTGTTTATGAAAATTGTTTCAGTCTATGGAGATGTTTTTGGCCTTCAAAAGTCAAGAAAATACAATTTTTTTAATTTTCACAGTAGATGTTTCAAAAGTGAAGAACTTGGGTAACATGTTAGCTGTATAACATTTAAGTCATGTTTTGTTTATTTTTATTTTATAAAATAAAATCTGTCTGTTTATGTTACAGTGAAAGCTGAGAAGAAAACAGTGCAGTTCAGTGATGAAGTTCAAGTGGAGACAATAGAACCTGAGCCTGAACCAGTTTATATTGATGAAGTAAGCGTGACGCAAGTACTGATTTTCAACTGCTGGTACATTTAAATATGTGATGTTTAACCTTTTCATCCTGTACCTCAAAAACAATTTGAAAGATCAGGAGGACATAATCAAAAGAGAATGGGAAGGGACAGTTGTTTAATTAAAAAAAAAAAAAAAGTATCTGCCATATTCTAATTTGCTGGTGTGTCTTGAAGTTCTTAGGGATTTCTGAAACTGCATTTGGAAACTACATTCCATTTAGGGCCTAATTCAGGATTGTACAGCTGTTCACCTCCAGACTAGAAGCTTGGTTGGAGTGAAGCCTTTGCTTTCAAATTTTGCCTTAAATACTTCAGGATACCTCAGAGATGCCCATCTTGAATGCTGGCTTAGATTTATTTCCCGTATAATCACTACAGTCTTCCCCCAGTCTGAAAGATCTCTTTCCTTCTTGGAAAACTGAGCTTTTTGTTACTCTGTAAGTAATATTTAGTGAGATTCGCACAATCTCACCTCAGTGGTTCTGCAGGGTTCCCCGGAAGTCTTAGCCCAGGATGTTTTTCCCTGCTTTTTTTTTTCTCCCGCTGGCTTAGATTTATTTCCCGTATAATCACTACAGTCTTCCCCCAGTCTGAAAGATCTCTTTCCTTCTTGGAAAACTGAGCTTTTTGTTACTCTGTAAGTAATATTTAGTGAGATTCGCACAATCTCACCTCAGTGGTTCTGCAGGGTTCCCCGGAAGTCTTAGCCCAGGATGTTTTTCCCTGCTTTTTTTTTTCTCCCAGGCTTTTCCTTCAGTTTTTTTTTTTTTTCCCCCCTTTTTTCTCTCCCAGGGGGCTTAGGACTGTTCTCAG